AAAGGGGAAAAAATCCAAACAATCCTGAAAATTATGAAAATAATATAAAGGATACCATATATTTGTGCTACACATTGTGCTATAAACTTCACACATCATAACATACTGTATCTCAACAACATTTTCAAGTAGATAGTCTTGCAAAAAAGAAAGTAAAAATCACCTTCAATCCCACCACCCAGAGGTAAATACTATTAGCATTCTGGTAAATTCTAGAACTCTTTATGCATTCAAAGAGAGTGGTCTATAATCCTAATATATAAAAACCCAGGGTCCCTAATGTCCAAAACAACCGAAGGCTCCACCGACCAGAAGTTAGTCCTGCAGTCAGTGCTGGGTCACTGCTCCGGGCACAGCGACCCAGCACTGACTGCTGAGGGGGCTGCAGATCAGGCCCGGAGAGAGGCTTGGAGAGAGAAGCAGGGTCTGATCCGTAGCCTCCGTGGCAGCTGTTGATCAGCTCTTGTCTCTCTCTTTCTCTCTGGACCTCTGTGGGGGCTGCTGATCAGCCCTGCCTCTCTGATCAGGCCTGGAGATAGGCCCGGAGACACTGATTGGCATAGAAACCGACCAATCAGAACCAAATCTGGGTGAACTGTGAGGAGCCAATGGCTGCCTAAGAGATGGAGCTTTTGACACTGACTGGCATAGAAACCAACCAATCGGAACCAAATCTTGGTGAACTGCGAAGGCAGAACCTAAGGTGAGGGCTGAGGAGGGGTTTTAAGGGCAACAGCTATTTAGTGTAAGGTGTAAGAAAGCGGTTTAATTTTTTAATGACCAGTTATTAATTTTTTAATGACGGTTTGGCAGTATAGTGCATATGGCTGGCTATCAGTCCAGATATAGGGATTATGTATTTTTGTCTGCCAAAAGCATCTCCTCCTGCTGAAAAAGGCTTCCCCCCACCCCATTTAAGCAATCCTATCCTATATGATCTATCGATACTAATAAAAGGGTAATATGCTAATTAGACTAGGTCGACGGGTCATCTTCTGGATGTCCGACTTCCTTCCGGACAAAGCCATGGTTGTGGGGGCTGAAGCAGAGGCAGTTAGGGGCGATCAGGCCAGCAGAGGAGGGCAGTTGGGGGCAAGATCAGGCCAGCAAGGGGTTAGGGGCAATCGGGCTAGCAGGGGAGGGCAGTTGGGGGTGCGATCAGGCCTGCAGGGGAGGACAGTTAGGGATGATTAGTCAGGCAGAGGCAGTTGGGGGTGAGATCAGGGAGGCAGGGGAGAGCAGTTGGGGGCGAGATCAGGCCAGCAGGGGAGGGCAGTTAGGGGCAATCAGGCAGGCAGGCAGATAGGTTAGGGGCGATCAGGCAGGCAGGCAGAGAGGTTAGGGGTGATCAGGTAGGCAGGCAGGTGAGCAGTTAGGAGCCAGCAGTCCCAGATTGTGAGAGGGATGTCCGACTGCCAGTTTAGGCCGTCAGACATCCCCCAAGGGTCCCCGATTAGAGAAGGTGCAGGCTGGGCTGAGGGAACCCCCGCCCTCTGTGCACAAATTTCATGCACCGGGCCACTAGTTTTAAATAAATAGGATCATATGATACAAATTATTTTGTACCTCTACTTCTTTTTCTCAATGACACGAGAAAGGGGATGGATATTATCATTATCTTCAATAGTTGTAGAATGTTTCACTGTTTAGATGCATCAATTTACTCTGTCAGTGGACATGTAAGTAAGGTAGCTAGTTTCCACATTTTGATGGTATAAACACTCCTCCGTGAATTCTGTTGTGCTTGCTTTATTCTGAAGCAATGGTCTCCTACGGATCAATTCCTGTAAGTAAGGTTGTTTACACTTTTATCCAAAATGTTAAACTATTTTCAGGAGAGTTGAATTAATGTCTACTCCTCCACATTGTCCAAGTCTGCTACCCTACACTTCAAAGGATGCGACAGATGGTCATGAAAGCACGTGTGAATGTGTTCTTATGTGACCGCCCGTGTGGATATGTGAGCTCTCCACATGCCCGAGGGTTTATTCATTTAGCAAATATTTCTGAGCATCTGCCATGAGGCAGGCACTCACCTAGGGCTACAACTGAGAAACACACAAGATCCCAGGTCTCATGGGTTCAAACATACACTAAACACACCTGCCATAAGTGTATGAAGACAAATTATATCAAGATATGACCACCCATAGCTGGCTCTGTCCTGGTCGGGGACGGGGCTCAGGGTGGCCAGGGGGTCAGGGGAGGCTTCCTTGGAAAACAGACATTGGTGCTAGAACCTGAAGGATCAGGAGACACTCACTAGAGCAGTGGTTCTCAACCTTCTGGCCCTTTAAATACAGTTCCTCATGTCACAACATAAAACTATTTTCGTTGCTACTTCATAACTGTCATGTTGCTACTGTTAGGAATCGTCATGTAAATATCTGATATGCAGGATGGTCTTAGGTGACCCCTGTGAAAGGGTCGTTCGACCGCCAAAGGGGTCGCGACCCACAGGTTGAGAACCACTGCACTAGAGGAAGAGCAGGAGGAAGCATGCTCGAGGCAGAGAGAATGCTTTGTTCTTGTTCTTGTTCAACTTCCATGGCAGCCCCCTTGCTGGGAGGATCTGCTGCTGTTCCCCAGACACGGGCCTGCTGCCTTTCCCTCCTGAGGCAGGAGGGGCATGGCTTGAAGAATGCAAAGACTGGCCCGGCCAGTGTGGCTCAGTGGTTGAGCCTCCACCTATGAACCAAGAGGTCACAGGTTGATCCCTGGCCAGGATACATGCCAGGTTGTGGGCTCAATCTCCATTAGGGGGCGAGCAGGGGGCAGCAGTCAATGATTCTCTCTCATCAGAGTATCTAGCTCTCTCTTTCCCGCTCCCCTCCTCACTAAAATCAATAAGAACATATTTTTTAAAATATATTTTATTGATTTTTTACAGAGCGGAAAGGAGAGGGATAGAGAGTTAGAAACGTCGATGAGAGAGAAACATCGATCAGCTGCCTCCTGAACACCCCCCACTGGGGATGTGCCCGAAACCAAGGTACATGCCCTTGACCGGAATCAAACCCAGGACCCCTCAGTCCACAGGCCGATGCTCTATCCACTGAGCCAAACCAGTTAGGCAATAAAAACATATTTTAAAAATGAAAAAAAAGAATGCAAAGACTAGAGATGCCAGAGCCCAAAGAGTGAGGGGGAGGGTGGGGCCAGGGGATCCTGCAGGATTGTGTCTGATCATGTATGTCTGAGCATGTACCTGCATGTGAGCATGTGCATAATGCCTAAGTGCTGTGTGTGGGTATATTAGCGCGCGGCTCTCGGTGTGGTCCCCTGGCGGAGCATCAGCACCCCTTTTGGGAGCCCCGCGATCTGTCCGGACAGCCCTCTGGTTTCGGTGTCTGCATGCCCGTGCGCGCCAGGCTCCGGGTGTTGGACAAGCAGGCGGAGATTTGCATCTAGGCATCCTGGAGGCAGGAAGCTCGCTCCATCTTTCTGGACTTTGTTCTCTCCGTGCTCGGCCACGTCTGCAGCAGGCACTCGGGGCCACTTAGCAGCTCTTAAGTGATGACAATAATTATGATGCCAGAGATGTTCCCAGCTGCGCCCTGTTTCTTACCAGCCCCAGACACTCTTCCGTTATTACAGACAGAAATATCATCTCACCAGGCACGAAGCAGGAAGTGCACGACGGGAGAGGAAGAGAAATGGCCTCTTCGGAGTGGAAAAACACCTCTCTGGCTTGCGAAACGGATCGCTGGACAAAGCAAACAGTTTTCTGCCCATCCTGGTTAATGGTGCCAGTGTGCAGAGAGAGACAGAGAGAGGAGGGTGGGTGCCAGGGCCGCGGCCCCCCCAGGCAGGGGCGGGGTGGCCAGGACTGTGGAGGGTCCTGAGTCACAGGACAGGCAGGGGGGAGCCCCCGGAGCACGATCGCTCATGGGAAGAGGCCCGGGGTGCTGAACTCCTGAAAGCATGGGCAAGGTCCATCTTCCCCAAACAACACCCACCCAGTACCTGCCTTGCACCCAGACTTCAGCTCTGGTTCCGCCCTGACCAGCTGAGCCATCCGGGGAAGCGGCTCAGCCCTCCAGGCTCCGCTGCCTTGTCTCTGAATCAGGGACAACACCAGGCTCTGCACCCGGGGCTGTGGTGCAGATGAAAAGGGGTGACTTCTGTGAGCTCATCAGCGCTGTGCCGGGCAGAGGGGAATGCTCGAGTCACCCCTGTGTTCGTAGTCCTTTCCCGAAGCCTTCCCCGCTCCCGTGCGCCTCCCTCCTCCCCCCACCCCTGCGCCTTCCTCCTCCCTCCTCCCTCCTCCCTCCTTCCCCACAGAGTTGTGCTGAGTCCCTCAGCTCTATCATCTGAGCAGCTCATGAGGTAAACTGGCCGGCCAGGTCCCTGACACGGGCAGGGTCAAGGGCGCTTCCCCTGCTGGAGCCCGCGGCAGCCTGGGGACTCGCAGCCGTGCACATGTCACTCAGAAGCAGGGCGCCTTCCTCTGGCCTTTAGTTGCAGGACCTGTGTCTGATCATGGACATCGTGCACCCTTGCACCCTCCATGACTTTTGTCACAATGGTCTGCTACAGGGTGGGGCTCGCCATAAAGAGAGTCATAGGAGCCTGGCCGCGTGGCTCAGTGGTTGAGTATCAACCTATGAACCAGGAGGTGACGGTTCAATTCCCGGTCAGGACACATGCAGGGATTATGGGCTTGATCCCCAGGAGTGGGGGGTGCAGGCAGCAGCCGATCAATGATTCTCTCTCATCATTGACGCTTCTACCTCTCTCTCCCTCTCCCTTCCTCTCTGAAATCAATAAAAATATATATATTTTTAAAAGAGTCCCAAGAAAATGGGGGTAAGTAACACGGAGCACTCAAGGTTGCTGTGGGAGGTGAGCTGCATGCCTAGCTCTGTGCTGGCACTGAAAGGCACGCACTAGATGGCCGTTAAAGATGACGTTTTATCCTGGGGCTGGTCTGAGTGGGTTTAATTAGCACAGAGAAGTTAAGAAGCAAATATTTATTGAGCAATTGGCACTGCCAGGTACAGTGGTGGGTATTGTCCATGTGTTATCTCAACTGGCCCTCACGCCCGCCCCTGGGACAGACAATGTCACCAATACCTCCTCACAGGCCAGGAAGCGGGGCGCCTGCTCAGGACCAGCGGCATGGGCTCCAGCAAGCCACCATCACGCCCCCTCCCACCTCTCCAGAGAAGCTGTTCTTTGGCCTGGACGCTGCAGGTAGCATCGTCACCTCTCGCTGAGCAAGAAATGTTTGCCAGAGGAATAAATTGGCCAACGTCGCTCATTTTGCCCATGGGACCCGGAGGTCTTCCCTCTGCCTGGCTGACCTCTCCCGCTACAAGCCACATCCCTTCTCTCTTGTTCTGTCCTCAGCAAGGGCAGCTGGTAGCACAAAGTGTGCGCCCCTCGCACAGGGGTCCTTAGGAGAGAATGGGAGCTACAGCTGGATGGGTCTCTGAGGCCTCCTCTAATGACAGGGGCGGGGGCTGGCTGGGGCAGAGAGCGGGATCCTGCCACCAGGTTTGGAAGCCCTGGGTCTTGCTGGTTTGGCTCCGGGGCTGCCTCTCCAGGCCCCGGTCAGCTTTCTCATCAGCACAGTGGGGCCGGCAGCGGGGCCTGAGGGAGTCTGTCACAGGCCCTGGCACCTGGGCACCAGCCAGTCCTCTCTCCCTCTGCTGGTGGGAGAACCAGAGAAGAAAAATGGAGCCTGAATGGAAACTTCAAAACCCTGTTCCTCCCCAGCAGGACTTTCTGAACCTGCCAGCCAGACCAGCCTTACTGCCAGCCCATCGCCTTGCAGCCCGGGGCCTCCCTCCAGGCCCAGCCTCCTGCTCCAGGCCAGCTCCCCCCGGAAGATGTCCCTGATCAGTCCCACCTCTTGCCTTGGATGCTTTTCACCTGTTTACCTTCATCAGGACATGAATAATCAGCACTCACAGGGCCACAGCTTAGTTAATATTTTTAAATGTTTTCCATGAGTTCAGGCAGCATGTGACAGACACCCTGAGAGGTGAGTGGGCAAGGGCAAGTGGCCGGACCCATTCTCGGGAGGCCTCGCTCTGGTCCGCCCGGGCCGAGAACGGGTTATGGGGCTGAGCCAATCAGTCCCCTCTCAGGGGCAGCGGGGCCTGTTAAAATGCTGATGCGCAGGCCCCACCTCCGGAGCATCTGGCTCATGGGTGGCCCATCGCCTCCTGTTAGCCATCTGTTGCTGCGAACAAAATGCTCCCCAGTTGGTGTTTAAAGCACCACCTCGCGATGCTCTCCTGGTCCGAGGGGTAGGAGCCGGGCCGGCCGCTGAGAGGTCTGTGGTCGGCTCGCTCCAGGGGCTGCCTTCAGCCCGAGCTGGGACGGGACATCCAAGGCGTCAGGGTCGCCTCCACCCGGTCTCTCTCCGGCAGGCGCTCTGCCTTGCCGAGCAGCTGGCTGCCCAGAGGTGGCATACAAAATCTAAGGCATGAATTGCAGATCTCTTTAAAAAAAAACAAAAAACAAAAAACAAAAAACAAAACAAAACAAAAAAAACGTCCTCAACAAAGGATATTTTTCCATTGATTTCCAGAGAGAATGGAAGGGAGGGGGAGAGACAGAAAGAGAAACATCTATTGTGAGAGAGACACATCGATTGGTTGCCTTCCGAACGTGTCCCAACCAGGGCCTGGCATTGAGCCTGCAAATGAGGTATATGCCCTTGATGGGAATCAAACCTGGGACCCCTCGGTCCTCAGGCCCACACTCTATCCACTGAGCCAAACCAGCTAGCGCTGCAGATCTCTTAAGGCCCAGTCTCCAAAGTTACTCAGTGATGGTTCTGCCTCTTTCTATGACTCAGAATAAGTCAGAGCCAGCCCGGATGAGGGACAGGAGGCAGACTCCACTCTCAGCGGGAGGGGAGCCCATGGGAAGGAGACATGACTGAGGCCGTCTTCGAGGGACAGGAGGCAGACTCCACTCTCAGCGGGAGGGTGGCAGAGCTTCGCTGGGAGCCCATGGGAAGGAGACATGACTGAGGCCGTCTTTGTAAACACAGTTTACCATAATTTTACAGCCGACTGTAGATGAGTGTGCTGTGCCCACGATCTGTGACCATGTCTCAGGGAGCCGCTCCCCACCGCTCCCTCCCCCCTCTCCCTCCTCCCACACCAAACAGCCTCGAAGAGCTGTTCTGGGGGCTAATTCATTTGCGCTGGATTTCTCTGTCAATACCCGTCCTGTCTTTTGCATTCAGCAAACACCCATCATCTCCCACACCAAACAGCCTCGAAGCGCTGTTCTGGGGGGGCTAATTCATTTGCGCTGGATTTCTCTGTCAGTACCCGTCCTGTCTTTTGCATTCAGCAAACACCCATCATATACCAATTCTTTTGGCAAGTAGAGGAGAGGGAAGAAGAGGGATAAAAACATAAACAAGCCCTAGCCAGTTTGGCTCACGGTATTGGCCTGAGGACCAGAGTCCTGGGTTTGATTCTGGTCAAGGGCACATATCCTGGTTGGAGGCTCCTCCCAGCCCAGGTTCTGGTCAGGGTGCGTGTAGGAGGCAACCAATCAATGTGTTTCTCTCACATCGCTATTTCTCTCTGTCTTTCCCTCTCTCTCTTCCACTCTCCCTAAAAATCAATGGAAAAATATCCTTGAGTGAGGATTAACAAAAAACAAAAAATAAACAAGACACCCTTCCCATTTCTAAGTTACTCACCATCTGAGAGTTGGCAATTCGGTTGATTCCCAGGCTAACCGCTGCAGCCCTCCTCCCAGGGCTAAAGCAGGAAGTTGTGAGTTCAACGTAGGAGGACAGTTGTGGGTTCTAACAATGTGTCAGGGAGTGGGTGCGCCCAGGGCTGTTCCAGCGAATGGCCAGAATAGCGAGCTTGATACCCATCGACTCCACCAGCCACACCTCAGCTTGGATACAAGTCCTGAAAAATGAAAACCAATAGAGATAATGCTTTAGATGTTGGACATTAAATATGCCCGCAGCATAGAGGCAACTGCATGAACAGCATCATCAGAGAACAATTACAGGAGGGAGGGAGAGGGGAGAAATCAAAGGACCCAAGAGTCCACTACAAACAGATGAGAGAGGCCCGGCTGCCATGGTGCAGTGGCTGAGCACCAACCTATGAACCAGGAGGTCACCTTGGACTCCAGGTCAGGGCACATGCCCGGGTTGCCGGATCTACCTCCAGTAGGGGGCGTGCAGGAGGCAGCCGATCAATGAGTCTGTCTCATCATTAATGTTTCTCTCTCTCTCTCTCTCCCTCTCCCTTCCTCTCTGAAATAAACAAAAACATATTTAAAACAAAACAGACGAGAGAGGCAGTGCCTGTATGGCCACAAGTGATCTGCAGACCTGCCCAGCATCCTTCTTGAATGCCCACTGTCATCAGAATTGAGCCCCCTTCCCAAGACAGGCCAGCAGCAGCCCCGGGACGCCAGGCCTCCTGGGAGAAGTGCAGGGACGTTCCTCTTGCCCCTGGCAGTTGGTCTGCAGCCTTCACGTGACTTCCATATAAAGAAGGTCAACAGTCCACCAGCCCACGTCATTTTTATTGTTTTCTTAAACACCAGCTCAGGCTTTGGGTGGGGGTGGGAGCTGGGGTGCAAAAGAAAATAAGTGGATTCAAATCCATCTTTACTGCATGGCAAACATGGCCCAGTTAGTGGGTGATGATCAACTTGCAAAGCGAGTTTATAGTCTGAATGGAGGTGCCTGCTGGGCCGCAGGTTCTCCTGGCTCAAACACTCAGCTGCGCCTCTGCTCTGAGCCCATCCAGCGGGTTGGACAAAACTCTATGATGATGAACAGGTGGCTCTCGCCATGAAGCTGGCTCCGGGCACTCGGGGAGGGCGGGGCGTGAGGCGCCTGCGGATGCTCACAGGCTGCGGCCTCTGTGCGCCAGGAAGGCAGAACACGAGGCTATTCTGGTCTTGTCTGGGGAGCCATTAGCATTGCATTTCCAACGCCATTATCTCCGAAGGGCAGCATCGCTTGGCTTTCTCCCAGGGGCATCACTGGGAGCGGCAATGGTGGCATATTGTCAGAGTGGAAGGGCTGGGGGAGGAGGCGTCACGTGCTCCAGTCTGGAGAACCAGCAGCTCTGGCCGACGTGTGCTCACAATTAGAGGCCAGCACCTTGAGGTGACAGTTCACGCTTATAGGACAGGTTTCAGTTATTCAGGCAGCAACTGGTTTTCCAAACTAATGGAACTGGCGTGGATTTTTCACTTCAAAACAAACCTCATCCAGACTTTGTCACGGCTTGTTTTTTTCCTGGGGGGGAAGGCAGAGGGAGATTTTATTTCCGACTTTCCCGCTATGGCGGCCTCTGCTTTCTTCCCTTCCCCCCAATTAAGGCCTTGGCATCAAGGTAGCGAAGGGAAGGGGCCATGCAGGACCCACTCCAAGAGGAGAGCTGGTGGAGTGTGTGTCCTCGACATGCTGGCTGTGCCAGCCTGTGCCCGTGGGGCTGTGCCTGGCAGGGAGGTCTTCCAGGGGAGGGGCTTTCTCAGGATGAAACGCTGTCCTCCCAGCTGGGCCCTCACTCGTATCAGGTAGGGCCGTGCTACCTGCACGGAACACATAACGAGCTACTGCACATGTATGTAATAGGAGCTGAATTTTCTCAAGAAGCCAGAACTCCACAATGAAGTCATTCAGATGTTGTTGATGGCTGCCTGTCCGACCTCCTTAGTAGGAGACTTCTTTCTTCCTGGTTGCAAGATGGCTGCTTCCCCTCCAGGCATCACATCCATGTTTCTGAGAAATAAGAGGAGAAGGAGGAGGAGGAGGGGGAGGAGCAGGAAGAAAAAAAGTCAAGGGCAAAAGGTACATACTACTGTGTCTTTCTTAGAATTCTCACTCAGGACAGTTCTGTTCCCATCTCCTTGGCCAGAGTTGGGTCATATGGACACCCCTCATTGCAAAGAAGTCTGGGAAATCGATAGTTTAAATTGAACGCATTGCAGTTCTGATAGGAAGGGAAAAGAAGAGAGTGGATCTAGGGAACCAACCATGTCTGCCACCCTCCCCAGTGCCTCCAGCTCCATGGAGACATCCTTCCCTGAACCACAATGTCAGTGTCAGGGTCACCTGCCCTTCTTTGCTGGCCTAGGAGCCCTGGGAGACTCACCACCCAGTTTTCTTCTGCCTGTGCCCTCAATAGCTGCTTTATCCATTCATCTCGGTGAGAGAGAACAATGCACATGCACTCACAGGCCTTGTCTAGCCCGAGGTGCCAGTGTGCAGGGAGCCAGGTCTGCAGACCCTGTGGTTAAACGGAGGGATTGCTGGCTGGAGAGAGAGTGAGCAAGAGAGTATTCAACATGAATCTGAAAAGGTGGTGGGGCAAGATCATGTAGGGCAGTGGTTCCCAAACTTATTTGGCCTACCGCCCCTTTCCAGAAAAAATATTACTCAGCCCCTGAAAATTAATTTTTTTTTTAATTTTTATAGCAGTTACTCATCGCCCGCAAATGCACCTGTGGCCATCACCGCCCCCCTGGATCGCTGCAGCACCTACCAGGGGGCGGTAGCGCCCACTTTGGGAATCACTGATGTAGGGTCTTGTGAGCTATGATTCCCTTAAATTCAACTAGTATAAGTGGGTTGCCAAGCAAGACACTGGGGTCTATGGGTGAGTAATATGACCGGCCGACCCCAAAGAAGTCCCATTCTATTGGGGCAGCACACATGCAATTAGACATCATGAAAGTCAGACTCTGACATGTCCAAGGACAGATGTGGAGACATAACACTGCTCACGGCAGCAGGGACAAGACAGCTTCCCTTTCAGTAGGTGGTACTTACATTTAGTTTTGCCCAGTAGCTAGGATTCTGGTAAGTAAAGAAGTGAAAGAGAGAATGTTTGAAGGAGAGAAAATTATCTGGGTAACAGTTTGGGGGCAGAAAAGCAAGCAGTGTGCTGGAATAATTGTGACTGGCCCTCTTGAGCTGGGGGACAGTGTTGGCAAGGACTGGGGTGATAGCATGATGGATGGACGGGGAAGGCAGTGCATGGAATGTCTCAGGAGATGAAGCAGAAACGGGTATTGGGTTGTAAAGAAAGAATGTCATGTTACGTTGGATTTTATGTCCACACACCCAAAGCAATCTATAGATTCAACGCAATCCCTATCAAAACACCATGTGCCCTAGCTGGTGTGGCTCATTGGATAGAGCGTCAGCCTGCGGACTGAAGGGTCCCAGGTTTGATTCCAGTCAAGGGCACATGCCCAGGTTGCGGGCTCGATCCCCAATGGGGGGCGTGCAAGGGGCAGCTGATCTATGATTCTCTCTCATCATTGATGTTTCTATCTGTCTCTTCCTCTCCCTTCCTCTCTGAAATCAATAAAAATATATTTAAAAAACAAAAAACACCAATGGCATTTTCTTCACGGAACTAGAACAAAGAATCCTAAAATCAATTTGGAACCACAGAAAACCCCTACGAGCCACCGAAATCTTGAGAAAGAAGAACAGAGTTGGAGATGTCACTGTGGAAAGTCACATGATCTAAGGGTCTCCCCCACCCCGCTGAGCCTCACTATTTCAGGAGCCCTCTGTGGCTTCCAACGCAGTGCACAGCTTTCCTGAATGTATGCAGACTTCCTGTGTTCAGGTTTTAAGACCGGACTACATATTGAACAATTAAATTACCTGGGATTTGCGCTGGAAGGGCCTCAGGATTATCTAGTCCACCTCCTTCATTGCACGAATGAGAAAGTGGAGGCCCAGGGCTGGGACTCTTCCTAGCAGTGCCCGCCTCCCTAGGTTTGTAATGGCTTCCCCAGGGCCCTGCCCAGGCTCAACGGTCCAGCCTCTCTCACCAGCCAGCCCTCGTTCTGTGGACCCCCCATCTCAGCTCAGGCTGGGCAGCCTCATGGCAGGCAGCATGGCCTCCTGGGTGCCAACCAGTGGCCAGGCCTTGCTGAGTTTCTGCCAAGCTGGCCTCTTCCCTTTCTTCATGCCTGCTCGCCCCCCATGCCGTGACCCCGGCTTCTTGAGCACTGAGGGCTGGGCCAAGCCTCCAGGGGCCGGTGGTTACAGGGGAGCCAGTTCACAGGGGAGGAAGCGGAGGCGCTCGATCGGTAGAGCTGTGCGGAACTAGGGTTTAGATCTCCAGGTGCAGTTTTAGGTCTTGAATTGGGACCCTGCGGAGCGGGCTGACTTGGCGGGGTCTTGAAAAGGGGGTTCTGGGGTGGACGCCCCACCTGGCTCTCGCTGAATGGCAGCGACAATCAGACTCGGCGCCACGACACAGCCC